TCCTCTCTTCACTCAATCGCCTTAATGACGACAACGACGAGCGTAGTGTACGGATCGATAATTTATGCGGCATTTCAGAACGTAAGTTTCCAACTGACGGACTGGTGTCAAACTTACGGTGTCCGGGAGGACTTGCTGTCAACTGCAAAGCATCAGGGACTTTGGTCGTTGAATGCGCCCCGACCAATGACGCAAAGCCTTTTTGCGCTAAAGGCTTTCATTAAGCGAAAATTGCCAATAATTTACAGATTTACTGTGCTCCTTGTGCATCTGCCGATGTTCTTAATCGCCTCGTCACCTGATCGATCGCCGCCACTTACAGCAACTTCCACGTCGACTTAGCTGACGTTTCTGACGGTGTATTTTTCATTACGAACCTACTGTAGACGAAACGGGCTAAAACGCGCCGAGGCCAACGGACTGTTCCGAAAATGGTACCTATCTACAGGTCGAAACAGCCTCCATTTGCATTTGTATCTCACGTCTATTCGCAGCGGTTCATAGACAGCGCTATGTTCGATACAGAAAGGTCAATTTTGACCTGTTTTGATGAAAGGCGCAAGAGCGATGTGGGTCTTCTTCGTTTGCATACGAAGACTTACTAGTTGTGTTTGTTTCCATACAAATGCCTTGCAGTGAATTCGCATCATTCCATTGATAACCTCTTTGATGATAGTCAATGTAGGTAATCGAATCGATGGATTATTATTATTCCAAATTTTTAAAAACGGATTAAGGTTAAAATTTATGCAGACAGGGCAATACTGTACGGGTAATAATGCTCCAGCTGTAATCTCCTCTTCCTTAGATGGCTAATAAAGTCCCAGCCAACAGTGTGAATCCGTCGAATCGTACTAGGTCATAAAACTCCGTTGAATTTTCCGGGTCTAATCATCTTGTAGTTATTCTCTTTCTATTTTCTTTTTCTCACGGCATGACTTGCTTCACTCATTGAATGCTGTAAGGAATCTAGGTTTTCCTCAGTTCGTCATTTGCCACAACTTCCTTTTCTGTACAGTGTTTTCGTAAGCCAATCCATTGTTGGTCCTGGTTTGCAATTTATCGATAAATGCTGTGCAGTTCTATCGTAGTCTGTCACTCTCCCTGAAACATTCTAATAACGAATTTTTCGGCCCGACTTTGGTATACCATTAGTATACTTTTCAACCGCTTGTCATTTTGTTGCAGTGCGCATTTGAATAATAAAAGTTTAGTTTATTTTCTCACAGGTTGATATTACTCCTTGTTCGATATATTCCTTAACCGTTTTTTCCTGTTATATATAAAGTACTCTTCAGGTCTTCGTTTTTCTTGTCACTGAGTTATAGTCCTCAGTGCATCGCATAATATAAGTGTATATCTGCATACTTATTTTAGAGATTGATCGACACGGTTGTCCCAAGTCGTTCTATCAGGATTTTTAATCAGCGTATCTTTCTCCAATACGAAGCTGTCTTTAAAAGAATAAACGGCTTCATCAGTCCCGGTTATTAGAGTTTCATTAACCGACTGCTTAGCATACAATAGAAATCATAAAAGTGTTCATAGCTGCTCGAGAGTACATATTTAATTTAATTCGTCCTGCCATCCACTCTCGTACTTTCGTTGCTGCGCACTCTCTGTGAAAGGGATGTTAAGGTAGGGTTTTCGTGACCTCTAAATTTTAAGGTAAGATATTCAAATGACTACACTCCATAATCGACATTCGCCTTACGGAGGTTTATGGTGAGGTGACACAATGTCAAAGAGGTCTGCATAGAACTCCGCATGTATTAGGTTTCATTGCGTTCGAATTATTCACGAATTCCTTAGGGCGAGGAATTTATCATACACTGCTTCAGAACGGGGTTGCTCATTCGGTACGGCGTCGAACTCAGAACCGATATGCCATGAGTTCAAGCCCCTGTCGGGACTCGACCTTCATTCTGAGGTTGATAAATGAGTACCACGACGAGGAGGAGAGGAAAACAGGTCACTACACGCTACAGCTGCCACATGGCTGTAGACTTTGCCTTTAACATAAGGCATTCACGGTTAATGGCATAGAATCGAACGTCGACACCGCACCTTCAGCTTTATTAAAAGAAAGGCGTCAAAATAGCCCAATCATGAAAGTGAAAGAAGTCCGACATTCCAGCGGTGACAACTAGCACTTGCGGAGACACGCATTGCGGAGATTAGGCTAGTATCAAAGTCTGGAATCTTAGCACATTGCGAAATAAAGTTGTGTGCGGTCTCTTCAACCGCTATGGTAGTGATGAAAACATGTTATGACCTCTAAAACGACCTGTTACCTGTTACCTGTAGTAG